ATATCACAATTCTGTTTCTAGCACTATATTTTATTTTATAATCGCACATAATCTTATACTCTCAGCTCTTTTCTGAATCGCCCTCATTTGTCAGTTGTATGTCCACTCACACTTTGTCAACACTTATTTTCTTTAACCTATTAAAATGCTCTTTCTTAACATATACCTTAATAAAGGAAAATTAGACTGAGTAATCATACCTTAAACATTCCTTCATGAGTATTGGCTACTCTGCCTCTCGTGTTTTCTCTTACTTGCTTCCTCTTTCAGCCCCCTTGAGATATGGAACTGGTGACTTCATCCATATTTAAAGCCTTGAATATCCCAAAGGGACATAAGGTTGCGATTTCAAAAAGCTCATACCTTCAATGGACCTATCCTTGACAATCAATCGCACATTCGCAACGCAAATTTCATGAAGCGCGCCAAATATGGTACTGATTCAAACCATCTACATTCATATCTTATAAATTATCAACCCAGCTATGTAATTTATTACAGTGTATATTGTATCATTTGTTTCAATTTGATCTTGCCTGTAAACTGGCATGCCTCATGTAACAAACTGTTATTTGAGAATAAATTATTATTATTATTATTGTCACATTATCGCAAGTTCAGAATATTGGATTAAGTGTATTATTCCAGTAGCATAGATTTGTACGCCAATACTAGTCTAGAACAAATTCCTAAATATTCTAAATATTTTATGATGTATTTGTTTGATAGCTAAAAGATATTATGTAAACTGCTTAAAGTAAAACACCAAAAACAAATGCTTTGTAAGTTTTTTTTACAGTGCGGTATAGTTTATTGTGGAACAGGTTACCGATAGCTATCCGTAACTGTGAAAGTTTTACCAAATCCAAAAGGTTAATAACTCTGTTACTAGACTCTAATGAGCTTCAACTATTCCTTGAACACCCGCCCATTAATGAGGCACTTTATTATGGACCGCCTAATATCTAAACGAACAAGAATATAACGAGCCATATTGTTATTAATATGAATACAACTAAAATACAGAATATACGGTTTATCCTCTCTTATTATTCATTGATTATTAATCACGGTTTTATGCTCCTAACCCTCACTTTCAGATTCCAAATCTTTCCAATGGTTAAAGATACATTATTCTTCCTAAGTGTCATGTCCTTTTTCTCTATTGCGAGTAGACAGATAACTCACTAATCTTATGGATACTGATCAACTATGGCCGATCATAATAAGCTCATACCGTCCTAAATTCTTGTGAGTTGCTCAATGTGTTATTTTTATTACCCTGAAAATATTACCACCTTACGCTCTTTCATATCCTTTGACTTGCTACTAGTCCTTACCAATTTTAAACCACATATAATCTTACCTGTGTTTTTTAACTTTTACCCTTAGTTATCTTCATAGCAGCGTGATATAATAAATGGATGCTTAACCCATAATACAATTGCTTTAACTATCTGATTTGCCTGTATCATGGAACTAGTAGAGACAGTGTATTCCAATAAGGTGCTTAGATTAAAGCAATATGCACACGCACGACAAACTTAAGAGAGCCTAACATCACAAAAGGAGGGAGGGTGGTGTTACTGACCAGCGAACATGATGGTGAGGAGATAAATCGATCCACCCATGTCTGTGGGGCAGAACATTTTGTTTAATTACGGCTCCTTATGGTCTAGTGGAATGTCATGAACAAATGGTCTTGATGCTGATTTATTATGCGAACTACCTCAATAAACCGTGTTTACAACGCCGAAATGATTTCACTTTCTACCGAGTAATACTGTTACAAGCAAAACTAGACAATTTTCTAAAAACGAAACCTGCCCAAGACTCTATAGAGTCTACAAAAATTGGGCTCAAATAGGTTTGACATAAAATAGAGACAGCCATTTGTGTATCAGAATACTGTTTTCAGTACTATATTTTCAAACTTCACATAATCCTATACTTTCAGCTTCTTTCTGAACCACCTCCATTCATCAGTTGTACATCCACTCATGCCTTATGTACACGGTGAACAGACAGATTGTTGACTTCGTGTTTAGGTTTAGTTCTTCGTCTAAAAGAAGTTCCTGAGTGAAAACTGCCCAAAAAATTTGCCATGGCTTTCGTTTTTTCCTGATCATCCTCTCAGCGAGGTCCATCTTAACACGCTGTGGAATGATATTTACTGAAATCGTCTCTTTCCTTTAATCCGAATCCAATTTAGCGTCAAACGTAGACGTCACATTCTATTTTCTTACTTTTGTTTTCCTAGTTGTGACTGTGAGCCACTCATCTACCTTATTTTTCTCTTGATCACATCCTCTACATGCTTGGACTTCGCCCACCATAGTTTGATTTGCGTTGACATATGAATCCGGAACTGGAATCGTAGATTCACATACCTTAGTACTTTCTATAAGAAATTTCTTTTACTCAGCGCGCTGTCTCTTTTCTCTTGTGATAATTTCTACATCCACATACTCGTTACTCCTGCAATCGATAGCCAGGTTAGATCAGACGATCGTCGATATATTGATAGTCCATCAAATATATCTTCTAGCCTCATCGCTTCTGTCTTTTGATTTCACTTGGTGGGTACGATTCATATTAGAAGGTATTACTGGTTAAAGCGTTGTCAAACTCCGAATACTTGTGGCATCTTCAACTTTTATGGTCTCATTCAAACCCAGAGATGGGCTCATGAGTACGTTCTGATATGACGTTGCCACAAAGTAAAATACCCAACAAGGCTTCACACTTTTATTGTGCGTAAATGAAGTCGTCAGGCTCCATTAAAACACATATTTCAGGTTAATCTGTACACGAAAAGTACCCTAACCATAAGATCAGCTGAAACAGTAGCACATGTTTCAGGGACATGTGAACTGGTGAGATGTAAGTTGAAATGCCGACGGCAAGATATTGAAACTGTTGTAGTATATCGCAGTCCAGAATGTGTAGCAGATGATTTTCTCTTAAGTAAACTTAAGTCCTGGTGTAACAACAATAAAAGCCTTGTAGTAGGCGACTTTAATGCACCATATATAAACTTGGTTAACTTAGAAGTAGGGTCATCGATATCGTCCTTCGACTCCAAACTGTTAGAAACCTCGATTGGACTAGCATTATTCCAACACATTAGAGATCCCACAAGATACGACTTAAGAAACTCTTCTTCTCTTTTAGATCTAGTCTTCACATACGGTGATGACGTTAGTCAAAAGGCTTTTCTCCCACCACTTGGGAGAAGTAACCATGCAGTCATCTCATTCAAATTTATGGCTGAGATTGCCTGTCAAACAGTTGTGCCGGCCCGTCCTAACATATGGAAGGCAGATATGCAGGTAATTAACTCTGCAGCATCGGTTGAGAACTGGGAAATTGACTCTAAGGCATCAGTACAAGAGGCACGGACTCTATTCAAGAAGTTATACAATCGAGTAACTCAACCATACATACCCTGGACTGTCCCAAAGAAAAAGAAGCACGGACATCCCTGGATAGGGCGAGATATTCGACCCTTACTAAGACAAAAGACGAAATGCTGGGATGTTGCCATCCGCCTTGGTACAGCAGGTACGATGGAACGCTATAGATCAATAAGAAACAAGCGTATAACAAAAATTCGTCACTCTCATATAGAAAACAGGTCCACGACAAGTTCCATCGAATTGCAGACCCGTGAGCCTCACCAGTTTTGTAATTAAAACACTGGAAAGGATAATCAAACGGACCACAACGGCACTTATGGAAACCAATAACTTGCTGAACATGGTACAACATGGTTTTAGAAAGGGTCTATCCTGTACAACAAACCTCCTCATAGCTAGGGAGTTCTGGATTAATGCGCTAGACAACGAAAACTCAGTGGATGGTGTCTACAAAGATTTCAGTAAGGCTTTTGACAAGGTGACAACTAATAGACTGCTATTGAAGTTGGAAAACCATGGTATTGCCGGACCTCTTTTAAAATGGGTTAAGGATTTCCTAGTAGGTCATAGACAAAAAGTAAGAATAAATTCCAAGTGTTCCATCTGGAGGCCGATACTTAGTGGAGTACCCCGAGGTTCCGTCCTAGGTCCTTTACTTTTTATAATGTACGTTAATGATCTTACAAGTATAGTACAGTCTCCAATGTTATTATACGCTGACGATGTAAAACTGGAGGCAAAGACGCATTTAGTCTTCAGGCAGACTTAAATAATATGATAAACTTGTCTAAAGAATGGCTGATGCCTATCAACGCGGAAAAGTGTGTCTATATGCACTTGGTGGATCCAAAGGTTAATACGTACAACATAGGGGATGTGTCATTACCCGTAGTCCGGTCTCATAAGGATCTAGGAGTGACAGTGAGTAATGATCTTAAGACGACGACCCATTGCCGGGAGGCTGCAGCCAAGGGGTTTCGAACCCTCTGGGCTTTAAAAAGGATATTCACTAAGTTAGATACTACCATGTTCACCACAGTATACACATCCTTAGTGAGAACTAAGCTAGAGAACTGCGTTCAGGCTGCAAGCCCCTGCTTAAAAGGTGACTCGGACATACTAGAAAAAGTACAGAGGGCAGCTACCGGTGCAATTCCGGAACTCCGGGGTTTATCATACAAAGAGCGGCTTGAAAAACTGGACCTCTTTATTCTATCCTATCTCAGTTTAAGGGGAGATCTAATTTTGATGTACAGAAAACTGAGAAATTATTTCGGACCTAACTTATTCTCTCTCTCTTTCTTCCCACTGAATCGGAACACCTCAGAGGACATAGCAGGAGAGTAGAAAAGCCGAGAACGAACAAAATACCCGTGGCATACAGGTTTTCACACCGAGTCATCAATACTTGGAACATGCTGCCTAAAGTAGTGGTATCTGCACCTTCAATTGACTATTTCAAGAGAAGACTGGACATTCACAGAAGCATACTAGAAAAGGATTAACATAAGCCATAGGCCTCCTGTGCTTACTACACAAATCTGAATCTGAAATCTGAATAATTGCCATTTGAAGAGCATCTGTTGATAATTCAAAGATTCAGCGTGGCGCAAATAACCCTGGCACCTTTGTAAACAGAAGGATTTGATTGATTGTTGGAAGTTTTCGCGTAATTATAACTACTTTAAGTTTAGAAATAAGTGGTAAGTATTCATAAACATAGCAGTAACACAACGAAATTCTGCGTTTGTATCATGAAATAAAAGAGACTCAAGGGTGATTTCATAATCAGACGGAAATCACCTTTTTACACATGAAACAGGAAAAGTGATCTTAAAGAGAGGTCCTTTAAATTAGGTCCTCTCTGAGAATGAACTGTTTCCTCCCAAAAATTCACATTCTCAAATAGGTACTTAGTTTCCTGCATTTAAAGTCGATCATGAGCTTCCTGATGGTATCAATTTACTCAGAATATGTTATACCGTAATATATAATGAAGAAGAGCGAAGATATGATGTAAAGCTTCAGTAATATATTCATAGATCATATGGTTTCCCAGAATAACTTGTTTTATGGTCATCGTCACTCAGCGTTTTAATCAACACATAAAGGCACCAGTTGGTGGTTATTACGAGCTTCCTTATATTTAATTTGAACGCAAGAGGTTATGTAGATGTCATATAAACATCCATTCTTGAATTTCTCTTGAAGTATGTTGAATAGTAAATACTACGCATATACCTTACTGTTCTCCGATATAGTCCGATCAGTTTCTTTTGAGTCCCGTCAAATAGACCTTTGCTACTCCGTCAGCAACTACCAAAAGCTACATGGTCTTATTATAAAACTCGAGATCTCTTGAAGCACTTCTTTAATTGATATATCTGCACTTAGTAAGCAGGCATCAGTTTTATTAGTTCATTGAAATTCAGTAAAATGTATGTAATGTGCGCCTATTGATATATATGTATAAACGAATTTCGCCTTCATTCAGCTTTGTTCTGTTAGCGACAGAAAGCGGGAACATATGTGCTAATCCTGGGGATCGGAACCTCAGCTGGTTGAAGCTTTTGTTGAATACGTATGTTAGATTTGTGGTGTGTTGAGGCAAACGACTTTACTGGTTGATTCTACCGTAAAGTTGATTATGGGTTTTTGGACGTATGTGAATCAGCAAGGGACTTTACTGTCACCTTTTCGTAGTAATCTTTATATATTGGTATCGTGGATGCATAGGACTGAGAACAGCAGATTGGAAAGGTCATTTAGGTATAAGAGAAATCAAAAGCTCTGAGACCTTTCTGAACGCTGGGAACTTCTAACAACGGAATATTACGTCTATGCAAAAAATGTCGATTTGCTTCAGTTAATTCTCTCACTGAATAATTATTGTACGTCGGAAGAGTATGGAACTAAATGTAAGATTATTATATACCAAAGACTCAGTAACGAGTGACAGAGTACGTTTAAATAATACTCTTTCCTAATGGAAGCTAGTGAAACTGTATTACACGATGTAATTGTAGGTCGATGTCAGTCAACCAGTCTTACGCAACGTAAAATGCGCACCATGTATGCGTCGACTCAAGTTTCCACGCTACTTCAGCAGAGTGAAATCCCACATTAGTATATGTGGCAATAATATCAGTGATGGTAGGAAAAATCAGACGGGTTCCATGCTTCGAGAAGGTATGGATAGCTAACGTAAAAAATAAAACGGTTTCGGAAATCGGGATCTATAGGAAGATAGTGTGAGTTAACCTACGCCATTGCGACCTGTTTTGAGCCATGTTACCAAACTCCAATAATTGGTTACGATAAGATTAAAAACCTCAACCAGATAGTATGCATATTCCGATTCGGTTTAGTCTAGCTGTAAATGGTTCCATGAACTGATATTCACATCGTTTGACTGCCCATAGCTTTCTTCTAACTTGCTTTTATACCAGCTGTTATCACTTGTTGAGGTAGATGGTGTTTAAGAATGCGTAACATGTCCCAGCCACTTTAGCGGATAAAGATTCATTATCTCCTTAACCTGTTTGTCATATGTGCTTAGTGCCTTTTTTATCTTATCATTTCTCTCTCGGTTATCCCAACATTCGCGAGCAACGCTTGGGAGGTCCCGTTCCTCTTCCCCTTTTATAAATACAAACTATCTGCAGTATGGAAATCTCCCGTTTTAATAATTGCATGGAGAACCATACATATTTTTACATAATTTTTAACTCTACTAAAATCCACCACGTTAAAACCCGACCGTTGTTGCTACCTTGACGTGGTGGTCGGGCTTGCCTATCGCGATGAAGCAACCGAGCTATACTGGCTGGAACAACCGTTCCTCAAGGTCCTACCATGTCAGACAGGTCGGTTGAAGAGCGGTAAGACTAAAAGCAACAAACCCAAGGTCCGAAGGCGAAGTCGTACCGCTGACTGTACGGAGGTGTAACAGCAGTAAGGTGTTTCCTTCAGACAACCAGCATGACAGCGATGCTGCCTTCCCACAAGGAGGGGTGGAGTTAAAAAACGGTCGACCCTAAAAATGCACATTTCGCCTTATCCCACGGATATCCGTCTCCGGCGGTAAGGTCTCAACAAGTACGGAGCTAACACAAAAATGACTCATTAAAAGGTCGTGTGTGACCGACCTCAAACAGTTGTCCCTTGGGCACTGCGGTCACGCTCCCAGGTCACTAAGACCACCTCTAATCCTTTTTTTGAGGTACCTCCAGAAGAACCCTTCCACGATGTGGGCAACCGGGAAGTGATAACCGCCCTCATACCTCTAACAGCACTCAAGACCACTGTATTCATAATCAACCTCCCTCTTCAATTCCTATTATTCCTCCTACATCGACTTTCACCTCTAAACTTCCTTTTTCGGCTTCCTCCTCAAATGTCACCATAGCCAACGATTCTAGTGTCAAAACACTGTCCCAGGTCTACTGAAACCTCGCTCCAAACTACACATTGGAGCCTTCAACGTACGCACCCTATGTCAAATCGGTCAACAGGCTTCCTTGGCTAGAACCCTAGAATCTCGTACTATTGATGTATGCTGTGTCTCTGAAACACGCATACAGGATCCCAGTGTGGTCATTCACTTGACCTCACCTCAACAAAACGGAGAGCCGGCAAGGTACAGCCTACGTGTATCTGGTGACCCGACGGCCAACTCTCGTGGACTCGCAGGAGTAGAGATAGCACTAAGTATGAGGGCGGAACAAGCACTGTTAGAGTGGACCCCCGTTAACAGTCGTTTATGTGCTGTTCGGCTAAACAGCTCCGTAAGAACTCAGAAGGATAGGGACACACGTCGTTGACTTTTTGTCGTTTCTACCTACGCTTCCACCGACTGCACCTCAGATGAAGTTTACAGAAAGCTATCTGAACTTCTTCAGAAAGCTAAACGTTCAGACATAGTACTCGTAGGGGGTGACTTTAATGCCCAGATGGGTAGCTTAAACCAAACAGAAAGGCATTTAGGTGGGTATTTCAGTATTTCGACACAGCGAACAGATAATTGTGATCGTCTGCTTCAACTGTGCTCAGACAATCGTTTATTTTTAGCAAACACAAACTTTAAGCATAAGGAGAGAAATCGTCTAACATGGCGACCCCCTACACCAAGCCAACGATGGACTCAAATAGACTATATTGCCATCAGTCATCGTTGGAGAGGGTCGGTAGAAGATTGTCGCTCATTCTGGAGTACCTACTTGGACTCCGGCCACGCCCTAATACGAGACTGGAATTAATAAGTCAAGTGTAAGTGAGATTATTTCGGAAAAAGACGATACTCTCATTTGCTCCCAGTCCAGACGTTTAGAACGATGGGCGGAACATTTTAGAGAACAGTTCAACTGGCCTTCAGCTACTCTACAACTACCCTCCATTCCCAGACAATGTGAATGGAACATTGAAGTAGCTCCCCAACTCTTGCTGAAGTTGAGAGGGCTATAGTTAATCTGAAACGAGGAAGGGCAGCTGGTCCTAATGGATTGGCTCCAGAAGTCTTTAAGGATAGTGGTTCAATTTTAGCGATTAGGTTGACTAATATTTTAGCTAAGATCTGGGAGTTAGACATTATCCCATCTGACTGGTCGCAATAACTTATCGTCCCAATATATAAGAAAGGGTCAAAATCATTCTGTGACAACCACAGAGGGATTAGTTTAACAAATATAGTATCTAAAATACTGGCCTCGATAATTATCAAACGCCTAACTAAGACTCGTGAACTGCAAACACGAGAGAATCAGGCTGGCTTCAGACCTGGTCATGGTTGCACCCCACACATATTCACCATTCATCAGGTTCTAGAACACAGGCATACTTATCGGCGTCCGACAATGGTGGTCTTTCTTGACTTAAAAGCAGCATTTGACTCTGTAGATCGCGAGATTCTGTGGCAGTGTCTGTCATTGAAAGGCGTACCCCAGAAGTACATAAGCCTTGTGAAGGCTCTTTACTCGAACACTACCAGTCGAGTCAGAGCTTATGGCGAACTGTCATCGCACAATTCTGACTAGTGTAGGAGATGGTTGGAAGAAAGTAAGGGGCGGCCAAACCAAAACGTCATCATTGCTTGAAGTTACTAACTTCTAGTCTGAGCCATGTTGGTAGATGCAGACTACTTGGTTGGTGTTCGCGTGACTATCGTAACCAATGGTTGGAGACTCTTGGTGACATGGCTCAGAATCGATCACAAAGGCGTCGGTTTATACACTCCCTGTCTTTCCTTAAACTAAGAGATTAAAATTGCTTCATATCTTTCTTTCTACTAACTAATTCTTTCTTCCTATACTATATCCTTATGTGCAATCTATCTTTTACATATTACCACCTCTGAATTAACTACTTTTATGAATCCGGTGTCCATCTTGTTGTGCTAATGAGGTATGGCAACCTGGACCGATGCACATATATGCCTGGTCCTACGTTGTAGCTGACTGACTGACTACGTTGAAGCTTATCATATGTTCAACTTAGTACTGAAAATAAGTCAACAAAAAGTATATTAATATCAATCGACTCATGATCTCAGCTATTTAAATTACTATAATTTCCAAAAAATCCCTTCTGATAACAATCAACATATGCTCACTAGTGATTGACTCCAAGCGGTATTTCTTGGAGTTCTAGTGAGAAGCCGTGACAAGTGGAGTTCAATCAGGTCTGTTGTGAGATAGTAATTCACTGATGACAATGGTGGATGTTTCACCAAATTTCGTGGATTAGTTAAGGTCAGACATTGACACCGTTGGATGCCGGCTCAGGGGTTCAGAGGCTAAGCGTTCGCGCGCGAGATCGACATGTCCTGGGTTCGAATCTCGAGAGGTGAGGTCGTGGATGCGCACTGCTGAGGAGTCCCGCAATATAACGGCCATCCAGTGTTTCCAGGTTTTTCATGGTGATCTAGCTTCAATTGACTCATGATCTCAACTGTTAAATGGTGTATTTCTTCATTTGTAAGATTTCAGCAAATTAATTACTCTATTGCTAATGGATAACTAACAGGATTAGTTAAATACTTTAAGGAATATTAGTAGATTTCCCTTATAATATATGGATTCAAAATGGGATTGGTAGTTGGGTTTTTCTGTGATAGTCTATCCTGAAAAAGCTAAATAAACTAGTGGAAAGTCAAAAAAGTTTATCAATGTTATCTGGTCATCTTACGTTATAAAACGGACAGTATGGACGTGTCTTTAACAATTTTTTTGGTCGTACTCGTCAAAAGCATTTAGACTAACTTATTTCTTATCATGCTTACTTCCATTTTATGTCTAAGTTTTAGTTCGTCACGTTTCTTATACGCTGTGGACTAACAAGTTATCTTCGCCCTTTCCAGGAAGGTACCTAAATGGATCTATAAAAAACAAAGATAATGGTAATGAAATTTATCACACACTTTCTTGCTCAAATCGGTAAGACAAATAATTTTCTCTAATTATACGTTTAGGACCGCAGTCTGAGTATACTTGGACTCGTCTAATTTACAGTGCACTTAAGGCTCCTACATATCATTTGTATTTTGAATTGCTACTAATTATTGGTATCATATGGTTGTTGTTTAAACGCAGTTATCGTATTAATGATGTAATCAATCTAAGTGTGGAAGAGAAAAATCAACTGATCAATGAATGGAAACCCGATAGTTTGGTTCCGAAAGATTGGGAACCATCAAAATATCTATTAAAACAATTCCACAGATGTGCAAATGGTCCTCTTGGCAAGTAAGTAATATTTTTTTAGCTTATCACCTACTTCTGTAACATTGTTATTTGATTGTCAGACAAAGAATAAGGACCTATGCACATCCAAATAAAATAGTCTCAATGATTAGTATTTACAAACAGAAGACATCTGTGTGTTCCAAAGTTGTTTCGAGGGTAAAATAAAATACCTAAACTTTTCTTGAGTACAGCTGTTCCGCTAATCTCTGGAACAAACTACTAATCGTTACTATATATTAGAAATTCCACTTAAAACCATCCATGAATACGAAGAATTATGTTTGGAGTCCTATTAGTATAAAACAACCAAAACATAATGTATCCTTTATATGCACAGACGTCAGGATTAACATGGTAGATTAAGAATGCCTCTAGGTGCCATATTTTGAAAGGTGTAGAAATCTATCCCTATTCATGCTCTTCACTTAAAACTTTATCTTCATATCTTTAATATGTATACGAATACCTTAGCTCTTCTCATCCCATGTATCGTTTCTGTTTTGAGATAGAGTAAAATAGTGTGACGTAATATTCTCATTTTTACAGCCTTTCTTCACAGTCGTTTCTAAGGCTTCAGTTAATAAAAAAACATTTGGTTCTGTGAAAAGTTCTTGTTTGTTCGAAATAGATTTTAATCACAGCGATTTCGATTTTCTCAGACAATATAATGGTAATTTATTTATTTATTTACTATTTATTTGAACACATAAATATTGGTACAAGAGTACGCCAAATAAATATGCGCCACACAAAACAATGAGAATTTAAAGACAAAGAAAAAAGGTTAAGGAGCGTAAAAAAAAGAACAATAACGAAGAGATTTGTTTAAGGTAGTATAATAATAATAGTAATAATGGGGGAGACGGAAAGGTACAATCAGAAGAGATCTTTCAATTAAGGAAGAAGCAGCCACTTTTTGAGAAGAAAGTAAAAGAAGGTTACAGCAGGATCGCCACTGGCTTCTATTCTGAGCCATATCTGATAACGTCTCTAGCCACTGTGTTGCACCATCTCTCGAACCTCAGCCAGGGAGTCGTGAAGGACCAACACAAGCCAGCCCTTTGCAGTTTTCTTTGATACCACGACACCATGTCATACACTGACCACCTCTCCGCTTCTTCCAACCAGTCCCAGAGTCGGCAAATAATGCACGACGTGGAATTCTCTGGGACGACATTCGGAGAACATGTCCAAGCCACCGAAGTCGGTGTTTCAAGATGGTGACACCAATTGCATTATCGTCTCTGTGCCCGAACACACGATGCCGAGCCTCTGCATTACTGACATGGTGTTGCCACTGAATGTCAGCAATCCTTCGGAGACAGTGATGATCGAACACAGAGTTGTCTAACGTCCTCAACTCGGAGAGGCCAGGTTTCACAAACATAGAGCAAAACTGCTCTCACCGACGCGTTGTAGATCCGACCTTTTACAGCCAGACTAACATCACGAAGGCGCCAAAGATGGCCCAGATTGGCATAAGCCGCTCTGGCTTTCACTATACGTGCATTGATCTCATCACTCACACCCCCGCCAGCACTTATGCAGCTACCCAGATACACGAACTTCTCGACTACGTCTATCTGCTCACCATCTAAAGTGAGTACAGGATTGGAATCCTGCCAGTCTTGTAGAAGTACTTTGCACTTCGAAGGTGCAAAGCACATACCATACCTACGGACACTGATTGCCAACTGATTAAGTGCGGATTGCATGCCTTGGGCATTATCGCACAGTAAGACAATATCGTCCGCATGCTCAAGGTCGAGAAGTCTTTCTCCAGACAACAGATCCACACCACCATTACTTTCAACAGAGCTGTTTCCAGAATGTCATCGATGGCAAAGTTGAAGAGGAATGGTGAGATTGGGCAACCCTGCCTAACCCCACTACTCGAATGGAACAATGGAGAGAGGTGGTTGTATGCCCTCACTCTGCCTGAGGTGTTTTTATATAGGGCTTTTAGGATGTTAATAAACTTCCCAGGCACACCCTCCTTCAATAAACAATCCCAGAGAACAGTCCTGTTCAACGAGTCGAAGGCAGCCCTGATGTCAAGAAACACTACGATTGTTGGCCTTTGATAAGTATGGCGGTGTTCTAACATTTGGCGGAGGGTGAAGATATGATCAATACATCCTCGACCAGAACGAAACCCAGCCTGCTCCTCGCGAGTCAATATTTCTCGGGTTTTGAACAACCTACGAAGTATGACGGAAGCCAATAGCTTGGACGCAATCGGAAGTAGACTTATCCACCGATAGTTGTTACAGAAACGATATGAACCCTTTTTAAAGATAGGGACAACTATCGACTCATTCCATGACGTTGGTACACTCTCTAGCTCCCAGACTTTTGTAAACAACGTCGTCAGTTCCTTAGTCAGAAAGTCACCACCATCTTTAAGAAGAGCCGGAGGTAAGTCATCTGGGCCAGGTGATTTGTAGTGCTTCGAGAATTGGAGTTCCTTGCGGACTTCCTCCTCATTTGGTGGATCAGTTGTCACCGGCCATAGAGGGCAGGACAGTGTGACCGATGTTGCCGAACCAGCAGGCCAGTTGAACTGCTCTTCGAAAAATTCTGCCCATCGTCCAAGACGTCGATGGATGTTAGTGATTGGCGTTACGTCATCCTCACAGATTGTTTCGCTCACACCAGGCTTCCTGCTGCCAGTGGCTCGGATGAGTTGGAAAAGCTTGCGGTAATCACCAGATGCAGCTGCTACTTTCAGCTCATTAGCACGCTCCGACCACCAGGCTTCTCGGTCCTTACGCAAGCTTTGCCCGATTTCTTTACGTAACATACTTCGGAAGTTAGTGCTAGCCAGAAACAGGTTGTGGTCTGTGCACAGTTGCAGTAGACGGTCCCCGTTATCTGTCCTGCGACAAACAAGTCCCCATCGGCCACCTAAACGATTCTCTTGTGTGCCTAGATGCCCGACCTGAACATTCAAGTCTCCGGTTAGTACTACAATGTCTGTCGAACGCACTTTCTGGAGAACAGTTAACTGGTGATAGAATTCATCCTTGATTGCATCCGGGCTGCAATCTGTCGGGGGATAGGCGGAGATGACGAAGAGACATCGTTTCTCACGTTGATTTCTTCTCACTTTGATAGAACTTTCTAATCTAAAAGCACATAGCCGACTGTTACTGGGAATCCAATCGATTAGTGCTGCCTCAGCTCTTGCGCTTAGTGCGACACCAAGGCCAGCAAGACCAGACGAAGATGCCACAGGGTCCCCGGATAAACACACGTGAAACAAGCTTTTTGAAGCGACAGATGGAGAGCGAATTTGTAGTACTTCACCAGAGTCTTGAATACGGGTCTCTGATAGACAACAAACATCGATATGAAGACTTTCCAAAGACATAGCCAGCCCTATCTGTTGACCAACCTGCATAAGTGTGCGAACGTTGAAGGCAAGCAGTTTGAATGATGCACGTGGTTTCAGAAAAACTGCTTCAGTACTCATATTCGATGGTAACATACAATTTTCAACCGGACAGTGACTCGAGAACGTTTAGATAGAGTCGAATTTACACCATAGGTGAGCTGCTGTATAAGTAAAAAAAATAAGCATAGACAGAGTTGAAATAGAAGAGGGTGAATAATGACGTAGTAAATATTAATAATAATAATAATAATAATAATAACGATAATGGTAATAATAATACGAGACAATTGATTGTTATTTGCAGGGAGAGTAATATTTTTCACAAGTATACAGTTTATCATGTTTTTGTATGCGGACTGTGATACTGCCCGGGTGCCCAGACCTAGGTAGGTGGTTTTCTTAGGGGCCACACACCGAGCCTTTGACCTAAAGGTCCAACCCACAAGACTGGAGCATCGTAAGGAGATGCAGTCCTATGGTAGCCGATGACCAACAATTGGTTCATACGCCACTTTTTCCCTTAGGATACTGAAGCCTATGTGCAGCATTGGTTTGGGATCCAGTCAATGCGCCGGACATTCGCTTTTCGTCCTCTCATTTTCGTAAACAACACCGCCACGAGAATGCAGTGAGTAAAACTTCCCTGGCAGAGGCTGTATACGCGTGGCCGTGTGAGAGCATTTCGAGAGGGGAGGGCAGGCCCACCCCGCTCTTGGCCATACCAGGACATTTGGGGGCTAAAGACGTCATTCATTCAAAATACATCTACATTCGGCTATCTTTCTGATCAATACCTAATCGACTACAAGAAAATAAATTCATTATATTGTTTTACTTTTTATATATTTTCATATTCTTGCAGAGGTCAATGATGTCCAAATTATAAAATATACAAATATTGTCCTAAATTTCGTTTTAAACTTCCTATCTACTTGTCTGAAGTTCCCAGTAAGCGGGAATAATACCTGAAAGGGTAAATGAAGCCACGTTTTCCTGTTAGCTTTTTGCATCATCTACAGGTTGGTTATCTAGTGCCACTATGTTTCACTCAAAAAGTGTTGTGGTTAACTTCGATGCTACTCAAAAACCAGTTAGTGATGAGCATTTACAGTTATGAAATGTAATATCCTCCGTCGAAATTCAAATTAATTCTACGTAATTGCTCGAACCATGTGAGTGTGCCCAATCTCAATTGTGAGTTTTTGTATATGATTGAGTAGATTAACATTTAACTTTGACTGCTATTGTTTGTCTTACTACCGCTTAAATAATCGTTAGGAAATATTTGTATTTTCGAAGACAAACTTTCCGAATACTTTCCTCTTACTAATCTTGAATTTTATTTCATGCAATAAAGAGATTTATTGATTTCTCAGTGTCCGAATTTGTATTTTGTAACATGTCATCAATATCAATGATTCTACAAATTCATTTTTCTTTGTTGTTTTTTCCAGATATGTCAATTTCAATTTAGAAGTAGAAGAGTTTGGAGCTACTGAAAACAATGTTAATAAGAATCATCTTAATTTCGCAACATTAAATTTCTTAAACTTTGTTGGGGATTCGGATTTGTCTAATGTTGCTACTGAGCAGCTGAAGAAATATGGTGTTGGATCATGTGGACCAAGAGGATTCTATGGTACTTTTGATGTTCATCTTGAATTGGAAAATAAGTTGGCTGAATTCCTCGGTGTTGAAAAAGCAGTAATTTATTCTTATGGAGCAGCTACATTTTCTAGTGCTATCCCATCCTATTCCAAACGAACTGATGTAATATTTGCGGATGAAGGTATCAACCATGCTACGTATCTAGGCTTAGTGGCATCTAGAAGTCATGTTCGATTTTTCCGTCATAATGATATGGAACATTTGGAACAATTACTGATAGCACAGGCAAAAAGAGATAAAGACGATCCTAAGCGTGCATTGCTAACTCGCCGATTTTTTGTTGTTGAAGGTATTTATTTCAATTCTGGAGAAATTTGTCCCTTATCTGAGCTTATCGCTTTAAAATATAAATACAAAGTTCGCATTTTGTTAGATGAGACCATTTCTTTTGGAGTATTAGGTAAGACTGGTAGGGGTGTAACGGAATATTTTGGTGTTAATATAGAAGACATTGACTTAATCTCAGGTAAGCTTTTGTTTTTAATTCTCATTTCTTCGGCTGTACAGCTTTTTTCATTGATTGTTTTTATCTGCGATTAGATACTTATTTAGTTAATGCACAATAATAACGTTCTGATTGGCTGGAGATTGTTTTTTAGTGAAGCAAAGGTCAAGGTTTTTACCTCCTACACTAAATTACTTAACTACTCAATTATATTGCATGCATTGATTGATAAACGTCAGCCGTGAATCATGACTGTTGTGGCGTGATTACCTGACAGTTTATCATGGTGATTTAGCAACCGTAAACTAGTTTGATCCAGATAATTTTTACTACTAGATTTTTGAAGTGTATGAGAATGGTGATTACAGGTGAATGGAAAGTCTAATCATGATTCAGTTTGATATTTGTTATGAATAATTGAGTTAGAACTCTACCACTTCAACAAAATTCATTCTCGTAACTCTACTAAATACTGTGCCAAAATTATTTCAGATAGTCTTTATGTATTAGGTTTTCTTAAAAATTTGATTTTCATTCATGCAAATTTGTCATATTTGGATTAATCTAAATATATTGTTTCGATATTTTATTATTATCATCACTGAAGCGGTGACTTGGCTTTCAACCAGTTATTTGCATGTTCTAACGTGCTTCTGTTCGTTTCTCGAAACTATTCGAAATTTAACATTTTAAACTAAATAAATAAACCACTTAAAGATTAACCAATTTATCCGTGTGTATAATGGGGATTAGTAAATAGAAGTATCAGCTTACAAGATTAAAAGTCGTTAGAACTAATTAATCAGGTTGTATTAGTCAACTGGATAAGTGAACTTGAAACTGATACTATGAAGCAGGCGAACCAATTTATAACGATTCATTAAGTGTATCATTACAAATATTTAATGACTAATACAGGACTTACGAAGGTTGAATTTTTCAAGGACTTGGATTATATTAGTAATAATCAACGAGACTTCTGTGTTATTATTGTTAACCGTTAATATCATGACCGTCAACTTAGAGTTGAGGATGTATGTAAGTTATCTTGCTACAATTATGCGACTTCTCACTCCATAGTTTCCACACTACACCTAAGGATTTGTTTTGTTTACCTAATAGGTTCGTTGGAAACTGCTTTAGGAGTATGTGGAGGATTTTGTGCTGGATCGCAGTATGTTGTTGGTCATCAAGAACTCTCTGGACAAGCATATTGTTTTTCAGCTTCTCTACCACCAATGTTAGCTAAAGCTGCATGTACAGCAATTTCTAAACTGCAATCGCCTAAGGAAAATGGTAAACGTAATCAACGGTTATTGGAATTAGCCAGATTAACTGACAATTTGTTTCATTCGAACAGCAAGTTAACCAGTATTTGGAAACTATATGGTCATCCGGATAGTCCGTTAAAACACTTAAGATTCAGAGAAAATAATACTTTAGGTAAACTTGAGGCTGTTGTCCAAACTGCTTTTGATTGGACTGATGAACGAAATTTGAAAGCACCTCCTTTATTGTTGACAGTATCAAGGTTAGTAATGCTTAGTTGCACGCTAATTCATATCATATTTATTCCTAATGTTATAGCTAATATCCAAAGATTTTTTGTGCTAAGATATTGCGACAGTTTATAGTAAGAGAACAAGAATAGTACATAACATGGTGTGCAGTCCAGTTGAAAATGCAACCAGAAGCTTCTCAGTCAAGAATGCTCCTCAAACTACTTTAAAGAATGATAATACTAAAGCAAAATCCCCACTGGTTATTACTTTCGGTCTTCTCAAATAACGTTTCAAACCATTGAGTTGTATGGTGTTTAAGACTCAAACTAGGGAGTTGTGAGAAACAAACAGATGTCAGCACTAGGCAAATTCCATCCCGTAGCTTCATGTCACACACTGACTACCTTCTCTCTTTTCACCCCGTCCCAGGTTCGGCAAATAATTCACAGCATAGAATGGCGTTCGTACACATGTCTAAGCCACCGAAGCGAGTGTTTCAAAGTAGTGACACTAATTGTTGTCACCGAGGTCAAACACACTTCTCATATCTCAGCATTACTAACACGGTGTTGCCACTAAAAATCAGCAATCCTTAAGCGAGACCAGTGATCGGACATAGAGGGTTGCGAATATTCTCAGCTCAGAGATACCAGGTTTCGCAAGTATAAAGCAAACTACTCCCACTCGACGTGGTATAGATCCGATCTTTTAAAGCCAGACTAGTATCATGAAGGAACCAAAGGTGTGTCAGAATGTCGTAGACCACTCTGGCTTTTACTAAACGCAGAGTGACCTCGTCAGTTACGTCAATATCAGCACTCACATAAATATCTAGATTCTCAAGCCTTTCAACTGCCTCGTTTGTTGCTGTTTCCGAATATCGATGAAAAAGTCGAAGAGGACGAGTGAAATTGGGCAACAGTGCAACAATATCGGTGACTACTACATTGAAAATTGGTACTGTGAAGTAAAAGGTTGTGACCTCCACAAAGCTCAAAGAGACAGTCACCCCTATCTGACATGGAAAAAACGAGTCCCTGTTGGATACCAAGCGGCTCCACTCTGTGTATAGACGGTCGACCTGTGCTTCGAATCCCTGGTTAGTACTACAATTTCTGTCGAATGTACTTCACTGACATCGTTTATTTGATGGTGGAACTCATCCTCGATCGCATCTGGGCTGCAATCTGTGGAGACGTAGTCGAGGATCACGAAACGACATCGTCCCACATGCCAATTTCTATCCACTTTGGTAGTGTTTTGTAATCAAACAGGACACACGACTGACAATGGGGACCCGCTCGACTAGTATGACGTTTACCCTGCCGCCTGCTACGACACCGAAATCAGATATTAGTCCCATAGGGATAGAAGAGTCTTGTAAACGGGTCTTGGAAGTAAACTATGCATCAGAATTAAGACTTCCTGGAAACGGAATAAAACCTATGTGTTTTCTAATCTGCTTCAGTATGAGAACATTGAGGTATGCCAGTTTAATTCGTACATTTTGCCTCACGGACGCTGATTCAAATATGATTGATATTATCATTTAGAAATACGAGCACTCATCAACATGAAGTTGTTCCGATATGACGGAACTTTTAACACAGACGAAGTGTTAAACAATGTGGAAAATAACAGTACACCCAAAGAATAGATACAATGAAGTAGAAAATTGAAAAAGTAAATGAAATTCTTATGCAGTGTAGTCAATGTAGGTATTGTTTAACAAGGTTGCAAAATGGAACGAGTGGAGCGGTTTCCCCATGATCAGGTATCGACATATTTATTTGTGGGTTGGAGTAGTACTCGAACGTCCAAACCGAAGCGTTCAAAAAAGTAAAATTACAACTACCTTCATTTGCATTATAGCAAACTGATTCAGTGTTTTCTTCGGCATTATCCAGAATGTCAATTAACTTGTTTGAGTTTTAAATTGTTAAGATTCTAAATTAATTTCAAATCAATTACTCATAATAGTTAGGTCTAGCTTCATGTTACTACATTACTGACAACCTTGTTAATCTTTTATTAAATCGTCTTTTTCCAGATATACGTATAGTATAAATTTCCCTGCTCCACCTCCAAGTATTCGTATTGCATTGAATTGTGATTTAACTAATGAAGAATTGCGTCATCTATTCTACGTTCTTTCTTCAATAGTTCCTGCATGAATCGACTAATAAATGATGAAATTTACATTCAATAATGTTGGCTGTGAAACATTTTAACAAAACATGATATTTGACCCTATAATCTTATGGACGTCACTAGCTCAATGATATTATATTTTATAGTTTTTTTGTAAATGTCTCTTTTTTAGTAATAAACAGGTTAAATATAATTACCGTTTTTGCGTAATCCCTTGTTTATTTTCCCCTTAGTACTTCATTGAAGCTTTAAATGTAAAGTAACTGTCTAGTTTTGTCTACCTGATGTCTGGATACTCATAAGCGTTGTATGATCCAAAATTTTTATGGACATGTATATAATAGGCGTTTTCATATATGATAAACTTTCTTGATTGTTGAATACGAAATCAATATCTACTGAATTTAGCCTGCTATAGAGAACAAATAATCAGTTGATAATTGGTCAGGATAAATAAAACAGTGTGACTTTACAAACGGATCATTAGAATAAGTTCTGTAATTTACTGGGCCACAAGATTTCCTTCATAACTGAAATTCGAATATCAGATTGACCGAATTTAAATGAAGTTTAGCTAAATCCAGTCCTTATTGCAATTAAGAACACCCAATTAATTCTTAAACTAGAATCCTTCTTGAAAACCGTTTATAGTCAGCGAAATCAGCTCAAGAGGAAAACATAAGGCATATATATGGTGGAGGTTATAGCTATCCATCAATCCAAGCCTAACCCTTGTACGTCCAGCTATTACTTGACTATTTTCTTAACCCTCCTATCTATCATAACTAATCAATTGCTGCCTAATTCTTTCCTACTATTGATTTGCCATCATTACAACTTGATCATCCTGCCCTTAATATATAAACGAACAAGTATCTTCACCTCAACATCTTTCATTAGCCGATAATTTCACAACTTGCTTCTAATATCTGATTTTTGTATTCAACTCAGGACACGATACCAATTCACTATCCTTAGATTACTCAATACCATTCTATTTTACTAAAGACTGTTATTTTTAGCAAATACGACTGCACAGCTCAAGTCAATGAAACCGTCAAAAATAACACCTTCAATATAGGGTTCTGGAGATTGTCAAGTCTTGATTGAGATCATAAACATGGAAGCACTGAACGGGTGTTTCGTCCCAATATGGGACTCAGCAGTGCGCATCCACGGTCCCGCACGCAGGATCTTCCGTCTCACGCCTGGCCGGCCTCCAACGGTGTTAATGTGCAACTTCAATCAACCCACGATATTGCGCGACTGTCTCCCATTGTCTTCGGTGAGTCCCAAACTAGGGCGAAATGGCCGTCCATGTTTTCAATGTTGATGTAACATTGGGCGAATCATGATCTTAATCATCGAATTGTCTTTATTCTTTGTACTATGTTCCAAGTTTTCGTAACTACAATGAAGTCAGTGAGAGGGAAACCACTGACAAAGACGTTCCGCGTAACCATTTGATAGGGAATTAAACCTGTATATTCTTATCGCATATACTTACATAGAACCTGGTTTAGAAAACGTGACGTGCAGAACAAATCAACCTGATATCTAGGATCGTTTCATTAGCTAGTAAACGGTCTAGAGTCAGCAATTTACAACCATTTATACGCTGAACAACTAATGATGTTTATTTTTGTGCTACATAGCAGGTAAATATGAGCGTCATATTTTGCTGGATAGACCTACTAACCAGTTATTGTGCCTTCTTCTTTTGGAATACTGGTTCAATATTTTTGTGAGTAACCGTCGGTCAGCCAAAAACTCCAACAGAGCTGATCGATAAATATGTACGTCCTAGCCTTATACCCCCGTCGTAAGAAGCGGCGAGCGATACTGGCAGTTAGGACAATGTCAGTTTAATTCGATGAGTTGAAAGTAACTCTACAATTTAAACATAAGCACTTTATTTTATCTGATCGATTACAAAACAATTTCTCAGATCAACAGTACACTGTTTTTTACAAACGAACCACTCAATGGACTAAATGAGTGGACAATTAAAAACAATATTTGAAAGTTTGCGAAGTGAACTTTGTGCTTGTAGATCATACAATGGATCGTGACACTTGCACTCTAATTCTTCTCATATCACAAAATAAACATTTGCTGGTTTCCTAAATGTGCAGAAAATTCATACAGTTTAATCTTATTTCAATTCATGGTAAACCCTTTCCAACTCACAGATGAAAATCGTATAGGTTTGAGATTACTGAAAAAATATTTGTCACACCTGAATGCTTGTTTTCAGAATAAGAGCAAACATAGTGATGCTATATGATAGGTTATTAGTATATCTACATCTGGAATTTTTAATTAGAAATAAAATAATTTAAGCTAGAAGATAGATGAGTCCTAGCAAATATGGGAATGAGTATTCAGTGCTTATGTCAGGCAAGTAGGTCCCTGTGGTGGTTGAGTGTCAAAACTTTACCCACTTATTTAAGTCCAATGGGTTCCACTTATCACCGCGAAGTTGTATCTCTTTAGTTTTGCAGCTCTTTGATTAATTTTCCAGGTTTCCCACATTGTCCAGACAATTCATGTACCTGCGTTAATTGTTCTGGTTTTTAGAAGTAGCATCAGCCTTGTGACTTCTGAAGAATATCAGCTTTCATTACGTGACATAACTCATAAATCAAGATCCTTTGACAGAGTTTAAATGGTTTTTCCTGGTTAGCGTTAGCAAGGTCTTTTCCTATTGGATGAGATTCCTAACCCCATAGACAACCCTATTTTGTTCGGGTGGAGGAGTTTGAGTGTTGCAAGCATAAGTGTTATACTTCCTGAAACTGCCTGTTAATACGATTACAGGAAAGTTGAAATGTTAACTTTAATTAGTTAGCCTTTAGAAGTACCGAATGTACTGGGTGGAATAAAAAGCTGCTTAATCCAAATAAATAGTGCGATAAAAGTTTTTACATAGAATTTTAATCGAATTAATTAGTCATATACACATTACATAGTGATCAAAATTCTGCTTAATATTAACATTATTTCTATACATAAAAACAGAATTAAAGATAATTAACCGAATCTTTTTCAGAACATGCTTCATGATACATAGTTGAAAAACATATAACTTAAAATGTTAAATTTATAACATTCTGAATATCTATAAAACAAATTAGTAAAAACAATCACTTGGTGACTGAAATCATTAGTGAGAAAGATTATTGAAGTAATGAATCTTTGAAAACTTAGCAAGCTATTTGAAACGACAGGAATAAACACGATATAAATGAGGCAAAAATAAAGGAGGTTCATTAAAAGACGAATAACAGACAAAAAACAATAAAGTTAACTGTTCTCAGCAAAAAGTTCATATATCTAAATATAATTCCATGTAAACGAACCATAGGTATTGTAATTAACTTCATCCTTCATGTTTTACACCACCACGCTTAATTCGTTTATTTGGAGAAAAAACACCTTTGTAAACAATAAAAAGTAAAGTATAAATTGATTACACTTATAAATGTAATTTGATTTCTTTACATGTTTGCCAGTCACTTACCCTACCTACTTTGTAAAATCGAAGTAGTTCTGTGATGTGTCCTGGTAACCATGAGTCGACTGAATTAAACTATATATCACAAACATATATCCATTTATGCCCACAGTCATCAGATTGTTTGTACCACACACCACATCAACAAAATGGTGGTTACCACATTGGGGTAGTGCATAATTTTTTCCTTAAAAAGTATACTTAAACTTCTTGATGTAAAGATAAATTTTTACAGCTATTTAAGACAATTCCATGGCATTTAATGTACAACCATTTCACAAAAGGAAAAAAACTGAGAGATAAGAGCATAAAACTATATATATATACTCGTTATGCTGTGAAAATTTCAAGTATACCACAAAAAGTGCCTAAACTGAACTTCCAGTTTTTTTCTGATGGTTGATTATTTTCTTGAATCATACTCATACAGGAAACTTGATCGATTGTATATTTACACATCTTTACCTACATGTAGTGTATCAATAAGTTCACAACTGAAGACATAAAAAAATGAATATATATATATATATATATATATATATATATATATATATATATATATATATATATATATATATATATATATATATATATATTTGAGTATCAAGAATATGTAGATACATACCATCAGACGAATTCAAGTGAGGAAAGTCAGTGAAACTTTGAATATTTACTGGGGGTTTACCAACAATACTTTGATTGAGATGTACTGAAGACCTTTTTTGAGCAACTGCAGCAAGTGATTGCATATCGTTTGTAAGTCCACTGTGTAACACATCAGCAGAAGGCCCAGAGAGCATTCTATAGGAGATAACATGAATAATCAAAATCTAATATACTGACAACAAGATTTAAAACATTAGCAGTTTGGATAGGTATATGTTACATAAAAGTGATTGTAATTGTACTTTTTTATGGCTAATATTCTCATTATTACAGTTTTTAAACATTCTATTTCTTATTTGTGTCCATTTCCGAAAAAATCTCATAACATATACACTTCTGTTGACTAATGTTGCAAGTTTTCTGATTTCTAATGATTGTGTTTCAACTTGAATGAAACTTTTTTAGTGTTACTTCTAATTACAAAGGTCTCCGCTTGAAACTTGGACTGACGAATTGTATCAACGGTTTGGTTAAATATACGGAAGCTTTTCACACAATGTTTGGCAGTTTGACATTTCAGTAATCAAAATATCAGAAAAATAAGTAAAAATGCTATTTTGTATAGTTACATATGATGATAGAAATAAATAATCAACCAAATACACAGAGAAATGAGCCTACTTAAGTGATTTACCATTTACAAAATGAATTTATCTATATGTAACAATTTATGGGTTCATTATCAGTCAAACTTACGATATAATATGCAATCAAATCGACAAATTAAAAAAAGACAGTGTAGACCCACTTAGAATTTCGCGTTATTCTTCGGTTTTCATGAATGCTAGACGGACCAGTCAAAGTGTCCTCCTCTTCCTCTTTAGGTACAATAGTTGGAAAACGTTCCTCTTCTTTACAGTGCCTTGGATTCGATTGTAAAGTATCTTCATCTTCATCGTACTTACGATACTGATTACGGCTGTATGAAACGTTAATAGTTGGTGACGCTGTAAGATCCTTTGAACTTAGAAATGTACGGGACAGAGGTTGGCTATGGTTTACTAAAGCAATATGATATTCCTCTGGG